TTAAATCATAATCCTTTAAATTTGGGGGGTGGTTGTTATAAAAATAACCATTGGGGCGGGTTTTTTTTTTTTTTTTTAAAAAAAAAAAAAAAACCCCCCCCCCCCCCCCCCCCCCCCTTTCCCTCAACCCACCTTCATTCGAACGGTAGTGAGCGCTTTTCATCTCCTCAAGCTTCAGCCGCACGGAGCGGACCAACTCATCCCCTATACGGAAGCGATTCGTGGTGTGAGTAAAATGGCGTCTGCTTCGCCTATGGAGACCTTCCCGTCCGGCTCTACCGGCTCTCATAGCGGAAGCGCTTCTCCTCGACAACCCGTAACCCCGAAACATGTCCAATTCGAGCTCCTTTTCCCCGAATCTCCTCAATACCGCGCAAGACTTCCCTTGCGCGTTCAAATCTACCCTCATGATGACACGGAGTCAATAATATCTACCGTGAAGAATTTCTATGGTCTCTACCATGGTGGGAAGGGTGTGAGTTTCGAGGACGATCGAGGTAACACTCTCATTGCGAGATATGAGAACTTCAGCAACAACATGATTGTATACGTGAGAGTTATTGAGGAGTCACCTCCACCGGCGGGGGCATTTGCTCCGAATGCCTTTCAGCCAGGGCCAATTGATTATGCGGCCCAATTAGGGCACCATCTTTCGAGACCTGCGTCGAGGACTTCCCGCAAGCGCAGTCCATCCCCCAATGGAGGTCGTGGCAGGCGTAGCGCGTCTGCTAGCACGAACCCTACGGCTGGGAAGAAGGGTCGCTCGCGCTCTACTAAAAATCGTAGCGCGAATTATGATAATCGCAGCGATAGCATCAACGGCTATGATAGCGGGGATGGCGCTCCCGCGTCTGTGTCTAGCAAGGCAAAGGAACAGATCGGAAACACCGATATCAGCGTTGAGAATATCGTAGAAGGTGGTCGCCGGAAGCGCGCTAAGTTTGAGAGCTCGGTAAGTCTACCCAAACTCTAGTATGTTCAAAGAGACTTTGCCTAACCAAGCCGTGGTTACAGGAGCTACCGCTCTTCGCGCCACCTCAGATGCCCGCTGCTACCTCTAATCCCTCCGTCTCTCCTGTCCGTCGCGTTGAGCATCAGCGACCGGCATTTCCGTTCGCGCATCCCGGACAGAATGCCTTCACAAATGCTCGTGCTCTTCAATCTCCGCAGAGTTATAGCAATGGGTATGGTCAGGCTGGCATGTTTGCGACGCCGGTGAACGACTCGCGGCGCCATCGCAATAGCGGTAGCATCAGCTATCCAGGAACTGGTAGTAATATTCTGCCGACCCCTGACCCGACCATTGGAAGTTGTGTATCCGAAGAGGATAAGGATGTCGCGATCCAACTTATGAGATTAGGTGAAATGTCCAACATTTCCCATGGGCGGACTTCCGCGTCAACTTTAGACGATACGTTCAGCGGTAGGGCTGAACTTGCTTCGTCGACGGGTGCTACAAGTGACGCCGATAGTGATAGCGAAAATGAGCTACCCCCCTCTCGTCGCCAGAAGCTTGACTTCGCCGGAGCCAATCGCAAGGTCTACCAAACAACTCACAGTCACTTCATACCCTCGCGCGAAAGCATCGATGCTAGTGGCGACGACGCTGACTATGAGGATGGCGTTGAAGATGGTCCTCTCAGCGCGCCTAAGTCGCACGACTCGAAGCTCAAGGCCCAGCAACCCGGAAAGCCACAAGCACCGAGTGCGAAGACCTCCAAGGCCAAAGCTCCCAAGGCTCCCAAGCTTGCCAAGACGAAAAAGACCAGTGTTGCTGCTAGTCTTATTGGCCCAATGTCGCCCGCGTCTCTGCCAAACCAGTCGCGCAAGCCTTCTATCGCCTCGACTACGATGGCGCCGGGGCAGTCAGGCGAGGATGACCAGCCTGACCTATCTACTAAGCCGCGCTGTCAGCGATGCCGCAAGAGTAAGAAGGGGTGCGACCGGCAGCGACCCTGCGGTCGATGTCGCGACGCTGGTCTCAGCGCCGACCAATGTATCAGTGAAGACGAAGGGAACGGTAGAAAGGGTCGGTATGGTCGCCACATGGGCGTTCCCATCAAGACGGCTGATATCCCCGGTCCTCCTACTCTCCTCCCTGCCGCTCCTATCGCGGCCCCCGCAGTAGCAGGTGACAAGAACAAAAAGCGAAAGCGGTAGGTCACCTGATCTACGAATAATGCGCCACAATACATTGATACTCGACAATACGTATCATGTAAGGCAGAGAGGATTTGCGAAATCTACCGACAGGTGCCGCTTTTTTCTCAATTACACTTCCACCCTAAGTACTAAGAATCGTATCTATCAGCCTCAGTCACAAAATATAGTCGCTGATGGGATACGTCTATATGCTCAACACCGCGCTGCTCTAAACTATAGCAAAAACGCGGCGTTTGCATTTACGCTAGTGTAAAACTATGCGATATCTAAGGAGGGAGGCGGACATGGTATGGTGTCTTGTTACTCTTCATCGGAGTTTTATTCCTACTAGGATTGGAAGAGGCGTAGAGGAAACAGGTATTTAATATGGGCCTCGCGGCCGTTACACTCCTTTTTATCAAACACGGAACGCCAGGTACAATATCTTGCGTGGGGGTTATTGGCGTTGGATCGTACTTGCTTGTCGGTTCATCATTCGCAACGTCACCAACCTCAGCTACAAGATACTATGCCGAGCCATTGGCTCAAAAATAAGAAAGTGAGCTTTGGAAAAAGGTAATCCAGGTGCGTTTCAGAAGGGAGAAGATGGAAGAACGGCAGCAAGGAGAACAAAAAAAACCGGAGTGTTACAGGAGTCCGCTGCTCGAGGGCGAGGGATACATGGCAAATGTCCTACTGTCAGCGGATCACAGGGCGTACGAAAGGCCGGACTTGGTAGCCGTACGGGGGGGTGGGAAATTGTGTTTTCAAACGGGTTTATCCTGCTTCTCCTATATTTTTTGGCGGTCCATACTTGTTTTGAAGCTTTTCGCATTGTGTGTTCTCTTTTCCTTAACTGTTCTCTATCGCTAGGTAGCTAGCGGAAATGAAAGTTAAATATCATGAAAACCTTGGCGGCAAATATGAACGATGCTTATAACTACGAAATGGTATATATTAATAGGCGTACATATACGTATATGTACCTAACGTAGATATGCGGGAGCGCATTTGTAAAGTAATTGATAGACTGATCGTCGTTGAAGTCTCGGCGGACGCGTGTAGTATATATAGTCTATCTTAGGTACCTATATATAGGTACCTAAACCAGGTAGTGCATGTTTATGGGTGAAAGAAAAGTGTATCAGACTGTACAAGTGCCATGTTTTAGTCTTCAGACTATCAAACATCATCCCATATAAAACTTAATATTATTTATTTATTTTTTAATGGACCGCATCTGACATGTTCGTGGCTCGCATCGAAGGTCGAAAGGAGAAGTCGGACGGGGTTCAGACCTAAACTAAAGCGGCGTCGTTCTGGACCTAAAATAAGAACCTAAAGGACCAAATCCAAGCTTGTGATTGGTTGCGCATTCGGCAGTTACCGCCAGTCAAAAAAATTCCGGGGTTTGTGCGACGTTGAGTTAAACTAGATCGGTGATCCGCTATTCCTTTTATAGATTAGTTTAGTTTTCCCCTGGCAGCTAGCCGCCTTGGCACTAGATCAGAAAAAGCGGCTTGGATCAACTTCCGTCTCGAGCGTTTCGAAAGGCTTCTTTTCTCATACAAATCCTTCACCGTCGCCCACTTGCAGCCCAAAGAAAAAAAAATCCTTCTCCACTCATCTTTTTTCCTCTTCCCTCGTGTCTCTATATGCGGATGGCAATATCACGATACCAACCTCGTTAAGCTTTGGTCCGGGAAAGGGGAGAAAATAGTGTTTTTCGGGAATTGATGCCCAGCCCACGGTCCATGACTGAAAAGCTCCAACTGAGGATCCTACCGAGACCCTATCGAGATGGCGATGGGGACTAGAAGCAGGCTAGATTCCTTCTTCACCGTTGTTGTGCTCCAGTCGGTGCGTTTTCGGTAATGAGCTACTGGCCCTAGGCACCTAGACACCCATCTCGTGATATTGTGCAATATGTGCAACGCGCGTTTGTTATCATCACGCTGGAGACCCCCCCGAAGTTTCCGTGGCGGCGCGCAAGCTTCCGGTTCGCTGACATATGTGAGAGGATCTACCAACGTTCACGATGGGTAAGGAACGTGTCTTGGGGATGGCACACTTGCGCTACGCTGGGAGGGCGGCCAGACCGTCGTCCCTTATGCGCTTTACTCCACATGGAAATTCCATGACAAGCCCACGCAGCCGTTAACGGACGTTGGGGTCCGGGCCCTTGACCTCCCTGCAATATCGTGGCCATATCGTGAGATTTTGCTAGGTAATATGTTCCGTTGGGTATATTGGGTATATTGGGTGCTAGAAAATTTTGAAGGGTTCTAGTAAGTATATGAAGGGCCGCATCGTGAAGTTCACCATCATGATTATCATTCTTGTCATCTTCCTCTCAGTTTAGCAATATATCGAGCTTCTTCGGCATCTCAACCAGCCACAAACTCTTATATCTTTTGCCTATCATGGTCTCTGTCGAACAAGTCAAAGAGACACATCATGCAGTAACCGTTACTCCCCTGCCCGTTACTCCTCTGTCCAACAGTCAGGTATCGCTCACTCATCCCGACGAAAGCGCTACGCCGAAGCCTAGCGTCGACGATGAAGTTGACTACCCGGACGGGGGCTCTGTCGCCTGGCGGCAAGTAGTAGCTTGCCATTTAATCAACGCTATGGCTTGCGGCTACGGTGCAGCTTTTGGAATATATCAGCTTTACTATACCGAATCACTTAAGCTTCCTGCATCGCAAATCTCGTGGATCGGGTCCGTCCAGATCTTCCTGAACAACTTGATCTGCACCGTAGCTGGACGGCTAGCGGATGCAGGATATGCGCGAGAGACGGTTCTCGGCGGGTCCTTCCTTGCTTTGTTAGGCACTTTCATGAGTAGTCTTGCCACTGAATACTGGCAGATCTTCCTCTCTCAGGGAGTCTGCACTGGTCTAGGTTTAGGTCTGATGTATATGCCTACCATCACCATCGTCGCGTCGTACTTCAAGGAGAGGCGCGCATTAGCCCTAACGCTTTCTACAGCTGGTACCGGAACAGGGAGTATAATCTTCCCTGCCACAGTCCAATATCTCATACCTAAGATCGGCTTTGCTTGGTCCGTCCGCTGTGCAGGATTTGTCGCTCTGTTCATGGTTATGGTCATGAGTGTACTTCTTCAGCCACGTCGTCTACCCAAGAAAACTGGCCCCGTGGTGGAGTGGGCCGCCTTCAAAGAGCCCCCTTACGTGCTCTTCGTTGCAGGAGCATTCCTGGTCTACTGGGCCTTATATTTCGGTTACTTTTATGTAAGTCCTATACCATATGGGTTAAGGTTTATAATCAAGAAACCAAATTTTCTAACACCTGTATGACTAGGTCAACACATACGCTATTACAGTCGCCTCCTTTACACCTACGTCTGCCGTTTCACTGCTGCTTATCATGAACGCAGTCGGTATACCAACTCGACCAATCATCGGGTACCTTGCCGACACTTACCTAGGCCCTATTAATGCTTTTATCCTATCGACTATCACCCTAGCTGCCGCCTTCTTCGCATGGATCGCCATCAACACGCCGTCCACTATGTACGTCTTCGCGATCGTCTTCGGTATCACGAACAACGCGGCTCAGGGAGCCTTCGCCAGCGGTCTGGCCAGTCTGACTAAGGATCCTGTAAAGATGGGTACCAGGTTCGGCATGTGTTGTACGATACTTGGTTTCGCGACGGTCGCTGGTCCCCCTACTGCAGGTGCGATTATCGACTATTGTGGCGGCCAATACCTATGGGCTCAGGTCTGGGCTGGCTTGGTCACAATCCTCGGAGCAGTTACCTTGGCCGTAGCTAGGTATAAGATCTCGGGCGTTAAGTTAATGATCAAAGTATAGATTAATGCGCCGGCGACACTGTTATTGCTTTATCGCCGGGCTGTATGAACAGTAATGGGATATGGGTATGGCTTGGGAGTTACATTTTACGTCTCACGCCATTCCCCGCTATAATGGTAACTCTGCTACGATGATGTAGAGATAGAAGGGTGGTGTTTATGGACACTTCTCGGTATTCGGCTTCGGCGGGAAGAAAAAAAAAGGGGTGGAAGGGAAGCGGAAAAGGTTTGCAATGGGCTTGAGGAGTAGATTGGGGTTACGAGTTATGACTTTCCTTTTTTTTACTTTAGATTCGTACGGAGCCGATATAATATAATAAATATTTTATTCTAATATATCTATAGGTTCCATGATTAGGACTTAGATCGATCTACCTATAAAATATTTCAGTGTTTCACAAGCGCATCAGGTCAAAATCGTAGAAACGGGTCATTCATGTAGATCTTGATGCATGATAACACGCTCTAACTAGAATACGGTATCAGATCTTCGTATGTGGGTTCGTTAGTACATATAAGTTTTAGGTGCCACATTCTTTAGCAATCCATCTTTAATATTCCTTAACACATAATTATATAATGGCAACAGGGTAACAACGTGATAAGCATCCAAGTGTTATTGGTTATTTCTATAATCTAAACCCCGATCCAGGACATGGCGATTCGTAAGTAAGTACTGTTACCTACCTACAGTTGACATACAAATAGATAAATGGCTGGTTAAATCCATTACTTTAGTGATACTGTATATAAGTAAGTTCTAATATACTACCCTCCTCATTCTCGTATGTTGCCACTTCGATTCCGCTATACGAATTTATAAGCTTTAACTAATACATCGATACCAAAAGATGGGAGTTATGTATATAGTGTAACTGTAGGATGGCCCTTGAGGATCTCGATAAGGTCCGGTCGCACGAGACATAGATTATGCGACCGCGGCCTTTCTGTGCATTCGGTCGGCGGTACTGCATAACCAATGCGGGTTGCGAACCTACCGTTTATTATATATATGTATGTACATGCGGAGGTTGGGTCGTATTGGGATGCGCGTGGGAAGAAAGCTTGTCGCATCCCTATCCTACGCCGGTGATACTTGTAACTTGTTGCTCATGTTGCCTATGTCTGCGTCATGTTGAGAGGGTATCGTATGTATCATGGAGAGTTAGTTGTTTATTATCAAGCAGAGGTAAGTAGCAGAGATATCAATTACATGACAATTGCGCAGATAGTAGGTAACCCCCTACTGTATGATATCACGAGTTGCTATATTATGTATTAGTTAGTTACTATATTAGCTAGTTACCAGATAGAAGTTTGAACTTTTATGCTTTGCTAATTCCAACCCCACAAACCGTCGCAAAGCCAATTCGATGATGAAATCAGAGGCGCTCATTGGATTCCGGCTTTACGGATGAAGTAAGCCAAAAAGCTACCTGCTACTATGTACGTCCAATCGTTGTGGCTTGCTGAGCTTGCTGACATGGCGTCTTACCCACATGCATGCCAATTAACTTAACCCTAATAGGTAAGGTATCATGTTAAATGGAGCAGCTTATATCCCTGCTATATTTCCTATCAGGGGAAAGTGTAGTCAATTAAGACACAAGCGGGGTCTTATCTTCCCCAAACTTCTCCGTCCGGAATTCTTCCATTCGTGCTTCCATCAATCATTAATCTTTCTTACACACAACCCCTAACAACCACCATCTCGAAGACCCCTCACAATTAACTACTACTGCTACTACTAACTACTACTACCACCACTTAATAGTAACAGCAATATAATAAATTCGCCATCGTGGCTTGAGGGGTTACCACTATAATACCCACCACCCTTCTTTCCAACGCTGCTTACAGCCTGTAGTAGGATATTATGTACAGCTGCAGCATCCGTGCCACTCACGGGCATGGTAGTATTAACGTATGTATTAACAATCAATTAAATGAGAGTTGGACCCTGCCACCTGACAGCGAACATGTTTGCCAAGACTCAGGCGTACGCAAAAGTCTTGGATAAGAGTGCCATGAACGTCACCCTTCCAGCCACGATGTCTAGCATGAAGGTACCAGCCGAGACCACGACCCGTTGTCTATCGGTGCTATTTCTACCTCCGTACTCAGCCGCACCTAGTCGCTCGATAGTCTATCAACTAGATAGAAAATAGACGACTACCGGTGATCAGTATAGTTGAAACTGGTTTCAAGCAGCTATGTCTTCTGCCGAAGATTGCGGAGTAAGATCTGTGGAAGAGAAGCAGGGCCAAGGAGTTTAGGACCAACCATTTCGCGGGGTAGCGTCCGTCAGCAACCAGGCATTGTTAACCCCAGGACGTTGCTTCTTGCCAAGTAGAGTTGAATATCCGTCTAGGCGAGGCCGGGGTGTTTAATAACGACTCAATCAAATCCTGTAGCTGATTTGCCGAAAGTGCATATCCAGGTTCTGGACCCTCTTCTCTCCTCCGAGCCACTGGGAAGCACCCCAGACCGAATGGATGGATGGGTGGATTGTTCAGACTTAATCCTAAGAACAAGAAATCCATTATAAACAAGTTTGAAAGTCCACGGGACCTGCTTGCCTTTGTCTTCTCTGCGTTCTCGCCGTTTTTTCTGCGTCACTCACCGACTTCACTCAACTGCCCATACAGTTAGTCAGTCACCATGGCAGCGATACGGACCATAGACGAGAAAAGCGATGTCGACCAGGCTGAGGCGCTCGCGCTCGAAACCAAGAGCCAAGGCTCCTCAGAGGCACCTGGCTGGACCCGAGAGGAAGAAACCGCTGTTCGCAGAAAGCTGGACTGGCAGCTAGTACCAACCGTCACTCTTTTATACCTTCTCTGCTTTCTTGACCGGTACGGCGCTCCCAGAACCGCTAGGGCTGTTGTCAATGCTAACTAGAGGAATAGAATAAACATAGGAAATGCACGTATCCAGGGAATGCAAGAGGATCTGAACCTTGTCGGATACCGATTCAACATCGCAACGAGCATCTTCTACATCGTCTACTTGACCGTCGAGGTACCGTCTAACATCATCTTAAAACGTGTCGGTCCGCGATTCTACCTTCCTGGATTGGTTGTTGGGTTCGGCGCTGTGTCGGTAGCGACAGCTTTTGTGAGGACGTACGAGCAGTTATGCGCCGTTCGTGCGTTGTTGGGTATCTTCGAAGGCGGAACCATGCCTGGGTTGGCCTTCTTCCTCAGTTCCTTCTACAAGAGGGAAGAACTATACTTTAGGATTGGAATTTACGTTTCGGCTGCATCGCTTGCTGGCGCGTTCGGTGGACTGTTGGCCGCAGGATTCTCGCAGATCCCCGACTGGGGAATTGCTAGCTCGAGATTGCACACATGGCGCAATATCTTCTTCTTCGAGGGTATTATCACCATTCTCTTCGCCGCGTTTGCTCCCGTCATCTTGCCGCAGAGCCCCGAGACATCGAGGGTCCTTACAGACCGCGAGAAGTGGATCGCCTCCGAACGACTTCGCCTCGAGCACAAAGCCAGTCCTAATGAGAAAGTACAGACACGCCATGTTAAGCGCGCGCTGCTTAACATCAATAACTATATCTGCGCCGCGGGGTTCTTCTCTATCAACGTTACTGTTCAGGGTCTTTCCGTCTTTATGCCCACTCTCCTTAAAGATTTGGGATGGGAGTCACTGACTGCGCAGTACTACACTGTTCCCGTGTACGTTGCCGCCTCGCTGATCGCCATCGGCGTCGGTTTCATTAGCGACAAGACGAGGATGCGCGGCATCTACCTAGCTGTTTTCACGTTCCTCGGTATTACGGGCTTCGCGATGCTCCGGTGGGGCTCGGGCAACCACCTCAAGTACGCCGCTGTCTACCTCTGCGCCGTCGGCGCATTTCCCGGCGGGCCCGGGTTCTTGTCTTGGGGTCTCAATAACGCGGCTGGCCCGGCAGTGCGAGCCGTATCTAGTAGCTGGATTGTCACGCTGGGTACCATGGGTGGTATCTTGGCTGTCTGGGCTTATCTGCCCAACGACGGGCCCTCATTCCCCATCGGCCACACGATCAATCTCGTTGCGCAAATTTTTGCCCTGCTTCTCTCGACCGGCGGCATCGCCTACTGCTTGTGGGAGAATCGTGTACGGGCCCGCGGTGGCCGGGACAGCCGGCTCGTGGGCTTGACGGAAGAAGAGAAGGCGGATCTAGGGTACAGACACCCAGATTTCCGCTATATCGCGTGATCACTGGCATACGGGCAGTTCTGGGCGCTTTTGGTATTGTTAGCACTTTTTACAACGCGTCACTACGCGTTTTCGAATATGCGTGTTGCGCGCAACTGGTAGACTACCTAAGGTTACCTCTTAGAGAACTGTGGCGCTACAGGCAGAGGATGGACTGGATGGGATTGGATACGATCGTCGTTGTAGAACTATATTTAACCTAGAATAGACGACGCGAAAGTACGGAACTTCAACGTAACGCAATATAACTACCCCATAAACACGCGCAAAACAATAAGATCTTCTGATAGTATATTGCTTCGCAGTGAGTTACAAATAGTTAGGGGTTTCTTTTACCGCTACGGACGAACGATACATACGATAAACGCCGTCCCGATTCTATGGTAAAACTACCTACCTACTTCATTCCTTTGCATAATACCACGTCCTCTTCCCTCTTCTGCCGCCCCTCTCCTCGCTTCGTCCAAAACGGGATACGCGGAGTAGTGGCGTTCCGGCGCGTATGCAAGCAATATATGTCACTATGTGCGTGAGTCTGCCACCCTGCGGTTATCGCGCCTATTAATTGCGAGTTAATATCGACCGCGCCTAATGCGTATGTACGTCCGAGACATGGTATGCGGGCTACTTGTGGGCTTGCGTTTATGTGGTTGCTTTTTAGGGGGTGGTAGATATTGGGGTTTATGGAAGGGAGGACTACCTGGTAGGTACACAGGTTTCGTGGTGTGGTATGGTGTGGTGTGTGTTGAATGTTGATTAGGTAGGTATTTAGGTAGGATACTAAAGATATTGGCCTGGGAGGTAATATATCAGAGATTGTATGAGGATGTGTTGGTAGGCGAGGGATCCTTGATACGAGCGTTAAGGGTTGCAAAGGATGTAGGCAACCTGGGTACTTTGTAGACAAGATAGCAGGCCCATGCACTCTATGGAGGATTAATAAAGCAGTCAGTATAATACGTGTTTTTCTGTTTTGTTTAAGGGGTGGTGAAATTTGTTATTAGGATTATTGCGATATAGCTCCCAGGGGGCGAAATATACTGGCTTGTTATATGTTTAACAACTGGCAATTAGGTATTTAGGATAATTCGTATAATGGAAAGTTGCTTCTCGTCTTCTTGGGTGAGAAACAAAACGAGGTAGTCCCCCCTTATCTCTACCTGCGTAATAGTCCCCAATACTTACCTAGGATTTGAGTGTCCAGAATGTATACAGCAATCTGGAGTATTTTGCTTGGGGATAAGGAGCCCCGTCCAAGATATCCTATATGATAAAAGGAATTCTTTATATCATAACTTACCTAGCCCAGCTAGGCACATGGTCTAATAAATAGTTAGAAATGTGATTGAAGGGAGTCTTGTAGCCAAGGGGGGCGGATATATTAAGCGGAACGGAAGGAACAATTATAACTAACCCCTGGTGATTTGAGTGAGTGTCTGTAGATAGGTAGATGTAGAAATCAGTCTCCTCGAGTCGGACTCCTAGCTACCTCTACTGCACTTTGATTAAATATCACGCATTAGAATATACGTCGCGTCTAGCCCCCAGAAGAACACAACGAGAATTGCTATATTCTTACAGCACAAATCTCGAAAATGGGTTTCATCGCTTCAAAGTGTGTTTATACCAGCAGGATCTTTGCATTATAGGAGAAATTGGCAACTTAGATGTTGAGGTATACCTGTTGAATTAGTAGAGTATAACAAGTGAATGATGATAAGGGTCTCAGGGGCAAATATGAAGATATTTATATCACCTATCACCTAATACTAATCTGATGAGCTGTACAGAACAGCGATCTTTCATCTATTAACATTGTTTAAGTTAGAACAGCATAGTAAGTCGGACCTACCGCTACGACGGACGGTAGCTGGGAAGTCTATGGGGGAACTAGGATAATATGATTTATTAGCGGAATATTATTCACTCACTTATATCCCATACCTTTAAATACGCTAAAATTTTGACCTTTATCACGTTAAATCATATATACTATAGTCAATCCTCGTATTACCGTCTCCTAACTACCTAGCCCTCTCCCGTAGAATATCCAACACCCTCAACACTGTCCTAGCAACCCCTCTACCATCCTGCCAAGCATCATCATGCGGCCCCGTAAGATCCTTCACAAGCAACAGCTCAACACCATCCCTCTTCAGCCTCTCCGCCATCCCATCCGCCTCCGGCATATCCACCAGCTCGTCGTCCACCGAGTGCCCCAGCACAGCCAGCCCGCCAGGGTACCAATCGCCATAGCTCCCCGGGCACTTCATCGGCGCCACTTCATCCCACTTATCCTGCGGCCCGAAAGCCCCTTCTAGGAACCCCGCATACCCGCCTGCGAACCGCGCGTTCAAGCCCGTCATATCGTAGATCCCCTCGACGCCGAACACAGCAGCGGGGAATTGTACCTCGACGTCTTCGATCCTGGACAATCCCGCTAACAGCTGGTACGCAAGACACCCGCCGGCCGAGTGTCCAACAAGCACATACCTGCTCCCGAAGCCGTACCGCTTCTGCAGGAACGCGAGCGCGGAGCGCACGTCGTCGAGATGATCCGGGTGCTTGGCGCCGCGGAAGCGGTCCGGCGGCGTAGTCGCCGGGTCCTGCGGGAACTCCGGGTGCGGACTCAGGCGGTAATCGAGGGAGGCGAAGGCGGCGACGGGGATGCTGCTGCTACCGGTAGATCCGGCGGCGGTATTACTGCTGCTCTCGAGGAAGCGCGTTATGACCGGCGCGAAGGTGTCGTGCGCGACGCGAGGGTCGCGCCATGCGCCGCCGTGAATGAATCTAGCTGCGGGAAACGTGGCGCGTGTTAGTGAGTGTTGCCTTGGGTAGGTACTTTTACATATACCGAGTAGATTAGGTTAGGTAGGTATGCGGAGTGAGTGAGTGAGTGAGTGAGATTTACACGATCCAATATTTAGTTCGAGTTTTATCAGCAACGTCGAGGTCCCAGATCCCTAGCCGTTGCAGCTCGTGTGCGCCGTACTGATGGACGGTATAGTTGAGCGACGACGCCATGAGTAAACCCTATTCCAATAGGCCGACAAGCTATGATACTTGGGAGGAAGCATTTTGCGATAGGCATTGATGCTAGGATTACGGCGCATGAGGGGAATACGTTTGTACGTTCGTCTCAATGCGTGCTCTTAGTACATATCAGTCTTTAAATGCATATAAATGCATATGACTCTGTTTTTGTGTTGCTATAATACTTTATCCGGTATACTTCTATCTCCCTTATCCCTTACAGGTTATTTATGTGATGGATTTATGGGATTGCGTAACAAGAGGTTTCGTAACCTTCTGTTTTCTCTTCTCGCTCAATGCTACTATTCACGGGAATTCCTGCTGGGCATAATCTATGTAACCTAGAAGGAAGGAGGCTGGCTATGTTGGTCTCCAATTCGCATGCATACTGGCATACAAGTACCGCTGTGATGTTACTATTCGAAACTGCAGCATCTGTTTTTCTATTCGCCAATTGCTCGAAGCGAATGCAGTGAAACTGTGACCGGAAGAGTCTAACGACACGTTGCAGTTTTTCTGTCCTTATGCAACGATTTATCTACGCGATTTGGATTGTGTCTCTAGATGAGAGAAGGTTATGAACCAACATCAATTCAATATGAATGACTGGTCACTTTGACTTACTTAACTGGTTTGGATTGATCCATACTGGCCAATTATACGCGAGTGACAATTTTTCTTGGAGGTAGTGTCGTTGTAACGGAGGGTGACGTAAATGCTGATCCGGAGAATAGAGCCGATATCTTGCATACACTACCGCCTTTTGCTTCCAACTATTTAGACTATTGCGGGCAGACAGAGCTTGAGGGCGGAGTATAGATGGGTGGAACGGGCGGACCTTATCCCTGAATCATCTTTTCCCATCGGCGGACCGAAATATCGAACCTGGAAAATGGAGCCGACTGGTTGAGACCTCGGTCGTATTGGCTAAGAAAGGAAGGTTTTCATATTCTCGTGGGATGACGCCAGTGTTAAGGTCTAAAGTCCAGCTCTTTTCATTGTAACTAACATAATATCGAAATGCGATGTCGGTACCTAGGTCAAGCACCCAATGACTCTCAGGCTGGTGTGGCTTGCAAGATTTGTGATTCCATCGTGGCCGACTTCACGAATTCCGAGTCTACGGCACAGACTAGCCGCTATTGGTAAAATGTGGTTGTGGACCCGAGCCAGACTCTGGGCTTTCTAAACCCAAGGCGTGACGAATCATCCGATTCGCTAAACTAAACGTGTAGTGGATTGTTCCAAGGAGACTTCTTACTGGCACCTTGCGAGCCTCTTACCCGATTCGAAATGTCGTCGACGCTGGTTGGGACGAAGGACCCTCCCCCGTCACGACCTGGATACCATACCCTAAACAAGGCTGAGAGTTGTGAAACATGCATTAGGACGATGAACTGCAATAGAAGCTTCCTGGAAACCCTTTCTCAGACGTCAACCTACCCTCTCCTCCCTTACCATGATCCCCCATGCTAGGTATGTATTTGGGGTCACCTCAGCCTATCTTTCGCCGATAGTGTAGACATCACTGCCTGCTACATGACAGCCAGATAGGTATCCCAAATGCAAAGTCCTCAAGGATGTTTGAAAAAGATGAAACATGCGGGGTATGTGATAGGGAGTGCTGATATGGTTTAGGGTTCCAAGATATGGGATAACGTGGTAGACATCATCAAACCATCGCGTCCGTTCCCGTTCGTGTTCTACCACCAAGACTCTCTCTTTAGAAGATTGAAATTTGAATATTCTCAGCTTAGAGTCATGCAGCAAAGCTACTGCTTCATAGATCGTCTATGATCGATGAAGTATTCTGCTGATCTGCTTAACCGAAGTGAATGCTAGTAGCAGCATAAGAGGTACCCGTTATACCCATTCTAATCCCGGATCGTCAGTTGCCGGACTGCAAAAAATTGAGACCAGGGGTTGAAGAAACCCACAGCGAACGCATGTACATATGTAGGCGGTGCAATGCCCCTGGCTGCCCCGGCTAAAAAAGATACCTTGGTTCTGCTAGTGTCGTGATAGTTCTATGAGCTTAGCAAAAGGGTCCTACATAACTAACAAGTTTTGGGTATATTCCCCATCCTAGTGGTCAATAGTAAGAATCGTGAGCTTCTCGTTTGATATACACTAGCGAGTCGTTAGTTCTAGGCTTTTCTAGCTTTGATATTGGCATTCCTTCGGGGAGGGGGGATATCCGAGTAGTTGGGCTCGTTTGTTAGTGTTTACTATAGTAGGTACACAATCTTGAGAGGTTACTCGCATACGTATTGTACCTATGCATGTACTATGCATGCAATGCGTACATATATACCTACATGTATGTAGGATCTCCTGCTGTTAGTTTATTGCCTAGTGTATGTAGTCGCGTGCCGTAAGTTGCCAAAGTGGAAGGGGAGATGTCTCGCACAATTCGGAGAATTTGTGTTGTATTCAAGATGATGAGGATCGACTCCATCCATCGCACTAAATCGCACCAACTCCAACTCAAATGTGTGTAACATTACCTAATATATACAATACATTCATATATAGTATCATATCCAGTATATGCAACAAGGACTAAGACTAGGTACCTAAGGTAAGACTACATGTAGGTAACCAGTAAGTTAACCCCCTCTTCTTTTAGGTACGGAATGCTATACTTTAATTCGTCAATTAACAACATCAACATCTTTCATTTATTTCTTTTATCTTCTGCTTACTACTGGTTGCCTTTGGAGCCTACATAGAAGAACCAACTTGCAAAGAAGAGCAATAAGAACAATAAGAACTAATATCCGTACAAGGCGTACGTAGGTTCGTGTCGTAAGCCTCGGTGATATGAGCGACGTGACGAGAGCCACGACCACTTGCTGATGGGCGAGCGCATCGTCAGCGCCATATTTGTTGTTGAGTAGGGCCTTTAGGCACTTTAGAATATCGTATTCCTTGTCGAGATTCTTATCGCTCGTTTTTACGTCGGACGGGGCCGCAGGTCCAACAGCGCTCTTCCGGTTGAGCTTCAACAAGACGTTGGTGAGAGCGACCTGCCCTTGATGTATTTCACATGACATACATACGCAGGTGCATGTCAAGGCACCGGATCCGCAATGCTCGAGCACTCTGCCCTGTTGATAAAGATGCATGAACTTCCTTGTCGTCGGGGTCGGGTCCATTATTACAAGGCTCTGCATAGGAAGACATGGGTTTGAGGCTCGTAGTCTCATCCTCTCTCAGCTGCAGTCTTCATGTGACATGTCTCCGCATTCTCGTACCGTCACATTACATAGCTTCGGCTCTCACCCGGGGTACATAGCACCGGACATCTGACGATCTTAGAAACCTCCTAGGCCCCCGGCTACACCCAGTCAAATTACCCTGGATAGGCAATACGCGATGATGATGAGCGACTTGCTTCAGTACCTACATACATTAGTATGCACACTACTCCTCCAGGGGTCTCTTATGACATGCTCGTTCTCCAAGACGGGGTTACCCGAGATGGCACGCATTATCTTCGACCTCATGTACTACGTAGCCTACCATACTACAATATGGTACAGAACACTACATATCTATCCCAATGCTCCATAAGACCCGTAGAGTGGTCTAGTCTGGCTAAGTGCGCATTGTTCCCATCCCCACAAGGCCATTCCGTAGTGCTGGTCACATTTTACCATTTTCTTCGATGATACATACACTACATATTGGCCGGTCCTGCAAACGTCTCTTTCTATCTTGGTCTTTCTTTCCTTTCTTCTCTTCTTTTCGTTTCCTTTTAGTCCTTCTCTCCTTAGCGCCTGGTAGACGGTATCTATCATGGCAGCCCAGGACCCAAACGCGCCGACAGACAGCAACGGCGGTGCTCTGGTGGCTACCGCCGTTACTATGATGACGTTTTCCTGGCTATCTGTTTCTCTAAGGTCGTTTGTCCGTGCTAAGTTAACCAACGGCTTCCAATGGGATGACTGGTTGATGCTTGCTGCTCAAGTAGGTTATATATTCGATATTGGCTGCTAGATTTATTGGACTTAGGCTAAATCCTAATAGGCCAATTTCACAGTATCATGTGCGCTCATTCTTATGGGGGTTCGGGATGGGCTAGGGAGGCATAACCAATCGCTTGACCAGCATAACGAGATCGAGGCCTTGAAATACCAGGCGTTGGCTACGGCAACATACGTCCTTAACATGTGGCTGATCAAGCTTAGTATTGGTATCTTCCTGCTTCGCCTCGCTTCGCAAAACAGGTACAGGTATACTCTCTACGCGAGTATCGTTATCGTTGGCATATGGAGCATAGTCTTGTTCTTTTGGAATATATTTCAGTGTAATCCGGTCGCTGCTCAATGGGATTACACAATTCTTCAGAAGGACCCTAACGCTCGATGTGTCTCGGCCGATGAGATTGTTAACGCTGCTTACGCACTCAGTGTTATGAGTATCCTGTCCGACTGGCTATACGCACTGTTGCCGATTCCCATGCTCTGGAGCGTTAAGATGACTATACAAGCTAAAATGACAGTGGTCGTGGTTTTGGGTTTAGGTGTTTTCGCAAGCGTCGCTACGCTCGTCCGACTCAAATTTCTGGCCGATCTCACTGATATGGCAGATATATTGCGTAAGTCTCTAGCTTTTATTACGAGTTCCTTATTTTTGAATATAGAAGCTGTTGTGCATGTATGCTGACTGGCTATCTTTGTAGATGCTGGCACTGATGCGATGGTTTGGACGTTGATCGAACCTGGAGTAGCTATTGTCGCCTCGAGCCTTGTTACTATTAGGCCCCTTCTTAGGCTATGGAAGATCAAGGGGTTCGGTGGCACTAGTGGACAGAGTCGCCCAACGAATCCGTTTAACAATAGTCATCCGACGTCGCGTACGAATCGATCGAATAAGATGCCGGCATTTGGGTCTACCGATGTTACTCTCGTAGATATCGAAACCGGCTATGCGAAGAGTTCCAAGTCGCGCTCACCAATCGCTGGATCGTTTGGTGGCAAGATCCAGCGGTCTTTGTCGTTATCAGATGCTGGAAGCATGTCGAGCAAGAGTTTTCGGTCTCGAGCATCATCCGATACCACAATGCTTCCGAGCATACCTCGGCGCTCTCGATCGATCTCAGACGCCGATACATTGGCTGGTAGGAGCCATCGATCTCGGCCGTCATACATGTCAAAAGTAAATGAAGCACCCATCGAAGAAGACGATGGACGGCAAGAGTACGTGGGAAGTGGATCCAGAAGGATAGATATAAAGAGTGAGATGTATATTATCGAAGGTAACACGACACCGACGCCTACGACACCTATGATGTTCATGGGAGCTTATAGACGCGACGAGACGTGGCTAGCAGAACAATCATCGTCGAGCGATGGATCCTTCGAACTCAACCGCGTTCAATCCCAAAACAACGGCATTAAGAACTCAATTCAGTTAACGAAGCCGTTGCCGATACCACCCACATATCGCCAAAGGTGAACCCGCGCGATCGAATTCTAACATGGATTACAATGTACAACGCCTTGAGACGACGACTATGACACTCAATACGAGAATACCCACAGCGTCGACTTGTTTTTTCACTCCCCTTTCGATTCTTCTAGATGTGTAAATGGATATTATATCGGGACATACCCAAAAGGCTGAAATATAGGTTGGCTTCATGGCGGGGGCTGGGCCACTGGGGAACAAATTTGTAGAAATATTAAGGGGATTCACGGGTGAAAAGGAAGGGAAGTTTCCTCGTCATCGAAGAGCAATCTCGGCTATGGGCTGGTTATCGTGCCTTGAATATCTCTACAAAACAATATACGGGATATATGGGCAGGCTATTATGCCACCTTAGGGTTATATTATTATTGTTGTTGTTGTTGTTAGGCGTTGGAGGATTTAGGGTAAATTTACCGGCAAGAGGCCTTTCTAGCTAAGGTGACTACCTATTGAGGAGACCTCGCGAGAGATGCTGGGGTAATTAGCGCCCGGGAGGAAGACCAGGCGGCTTCTGGGGAAGTTTATAATAGGGGATTTGCTCTGTGTAGGTACCTATATATGTAGCGAGTGAAAGCTTATTTATAATATACTACCGACGACCGAATGACGATATTTATGAGAGGCAATCAGGTTATCCGAATGTCTATACCTATGACTATATTAGGTAGCTATCCCTCCAGTCCTTCGAGTATCTAATAGCACACTGCGTGTACCGAAGGATAACGGCACTCCTAAGGACGGCTTTAATCGATGGGAGTGTCGTACACCTCTCTAGCCTAGCATATTCCATTACCGATAACTGTGTTTTGGTTCTGATTTCACGGTGGAATGAATTGGAATCTGGTGTTGGCCCCTTGACCGAATTACGGCGGCGTAGCTGGGATCGGCAGGTCTGAATTCAAGAGTAAAATTACCGTATGTAATTTTCATTAATATTAGCATCATCATAATATAGGTTAGGTAGCTAAGGTAGGTATAATATTTCTAGGTCAACTTATGTGGTCAGCCACCGAGCTAGCTGTGCATGAGTGGAGAGTTTAGATAATGTAATGTGAATTAATGAGCAGCTGGGCTGTTGGTCTCCCTTTTTAAGAGAAGTGTGTAATATATTAGGTACATAGGAGACCCTTTCTCGTTACTAGTTGGTGGCTTTAGGAAATCTATCTCTTATCTTATGTATATCTTATAGTTTAACATTAGACGTTGGACGCGCCGAGCGTTAGAGAAGCTGATTCCCGGCAAACCCGCGACGGACGGTGAGGCTAGCGTTACATTGAACATAATTCTCCTACTAGTAAGAACCGGGGTAACTGACGGTTGAGGTACCTACGAGGCTGCACGGATGGGTTCTCCCTACTGTGGAAGAGTCATACATAGTATGTATGTGGTTCGCGTAGCTTGCGCGGTCTCTAAGAACTGGGGTTGGCTGTTATGATAGAAAGTGGCTGGGGTATCAAAACTAATGTTTCCTTTGCCTGGGTAGGTTACTAACCAGGCTGCCGGGATTTTTTGTTAGCTACATGATTGAAGCCTTAATAAAAACTAGCCAAGAACGTCGATACGTCTATGTAGTCGCCTTGAGCTTCACACTAGCTGGCTATGAAGTACCTACTTAATCCATAGCCTCCTTGAATGCGCTTGGCGAAGAAGCTACATAGTGTATCCACAAAGGGTAATCACTGCGTCAAAAATCATTGATCTAGGCCGTCGATGCCCTCAAGACTAGGATCCCAATCCTCCTCTTCGTCCCACACAGGTGCCAGTACGAACTTGTTAAGGATCTGGCCCATACCACAGGCGAACCCAGTGCTCGCCTCGGGGTTCTGCAGGTCGATGTTTTGCTCTATCATGATAGCCGACGTTAAAAAGTCGGTCTCCGTACCCATCCCCAAGCTCAGGATTGTGCCCCCCCAATCAAACTCCACTTTGCCGGATTTACGCACGTTGAGCTTGCCGATGAGACCACCCTCCGGCGGGAGAGTTGCGAATGGATTGTACACTTTCTCCTTCTCTTTGCCGTCTTCCGTCTTCACCTTGTTGGTAGTAGCCGGGCCCGTATTCTCGCGAGGCGCAGGATCGGCGACTTCTGGCTCTTCACCATTTGTACCGTCTGTAGGCTTGACCAACGGTGGCAGAATAGGAGGTAGTTGGAAGAGGTACATCTGATCATCTTTTTCCTGGCCCTGCGGAGCCTCATCGTCTTCTTGCCCTTCATCTTTTTCGCCTTCTTTCTCACCGCTAGGGGGGTCGTCAAATTTAAGTGTTTGCAACTGAGCGTCTAGGTCGTATAAAGTTTGCAGGATTTCGGGGTCCTTGGCCGCCTTCTCCTTTCGCTTTCTTTGTGCAATCGCGGCACTATCTTCGTTCACGGCCAGTTTCTTCTTAAGTTCTGGTGAAGGAGGCGCTTTTATCTGGGCTGCCTCAGGGATATCGGCCATATCCACGTCCATGGCCTCCGGCTCCGTACCAGGTTCTGCTTTGATTTTGACTTGACTCTTTGGAGCAGCATGCCATACCTCGCTATCGTCTTCCATGCCAATCTCGCGTAGATCCTTAGCTGCTTGAGTAACGAATAGTTCGTCATCGTCAGAGGACTGACGGTCTTCCGCTTCAAGCTCCGCCGTGGTTTTAACTTTAACTTCGTCCTCTTCATGGTGGGTTCTAAGAAGACCGACTGGGAGATTTCCAGTTGATTTAGTGAAACGGGAAGGCTGATAGAGGGGATTTCCTTCCTCGTCGTAACCCGTAGTCCCGTTCAGAAGGTCAACATTGACTCTATCTTCGTTCTCTCGTCTAGGCCGATATCTAAGCGCGTTGAACTGAGGGGTAAAACCACCCTTTGACGAAGAAGCACCACCATTAGCTCCCCAACCCCATCCTCCCGCACCCGCTTTCACAATATCTATTTATAGGTTAGCAAGTTAGTTATCCAATGGGGTATTGCTGAGTTATCGGAAAATCGTACCTTGTGGTATCGCAGAAAATGGGCCAGAAGCGGTGACTGTTCTCCTGATAAATCCTCGCTGTGATGGATCACCCCTCCCTCGACCTCGTCTTGCCCTTCGGCCCTCTGCTCGTTGCTGCCGTTCCTCTTCTTTAATTTTGACGGCTAAGTCACGGTTTCTCTCTTGTTCCAGCCTTGCTCGTTCTGCAGCGTCTCGCCGAACGTTCTTAGGTCTGAATCGGCCACCAGCCCGTGAAGCCGTAGCACTAGGAGTCTGCGATTGTCTCAATGACGTGGTAACTGAAGGGTCACTTTGAAGGGCGGATACCGGCGGGCTATCGATTGGTGTCCCTTCAGAAGGTGTGCTTATAACCACTATATCGCTGCTTTCTATGGAGGTTTGGGGTTGTGATGAACTCTCAGCGGGATGTGATTCTGCATCGCCAAGTGAGGCTCTATTTGTGGTATCTGATGATGAATGACCGGCTCTGGCTGCTCCCCTTCCTCTCCCTCCTCTCCCACCACGTGAACCACGAGGCGGCATTGTTACTATCTCATGAGGCTTGGGAGAAGTAGTTCTGGATAATGAGATAAATATCAAACTAATAAGGTGTATTTGAATGTAACTTATTATATATGAACTCGACCTTTGATTTGATGCCTTTTGAATAAGACTGATTGGAAAAGTTTCTGGTGGGGCAAAGTTCTTGTAAGTGCAACCTTTAGCTAAATTCAACTAAGCAGCTAAGGCCTGCTATGATGTACTTCGTACATATTACGGAAGGGAATCTTGGTGGGGCACGACCGTACCTGAGTCATCCTAGAGCTGTGGGTATGGAATAAGGCAGCTGGCAGCTGACAGCCACCTGATTTCTGCCTTCTATATCACATGGAAAAGGGGAAGTACCTTAAATACCTTAAGTACCTCCTAGGCTTGTTAAATAATTTTATACATGTAAAAAGCTATGAAAACTAGCTTGAGCATACTCCTGTAGCAAGAGTTAATCCAATTGAAATTGGGTAATAGGGTTAATGATTTTGGTGTGCTATATGTGCCTGGGTTTATGATTTCTAGGTAGTACATTCTTGATGTGAAATTGAGGTATCGCGTATAAGAGGAGGTGACTATTTAAAGGCTATTTGCCTATATAATCGCGATTGAACGCTAATCAAACTGCCAGCAGGGAAACAAATGCAAGAAGCATGAAAAGACGAATGGATAGACGCGGAGTCTCATCGAATGCACATCAGGGCTTCTTCGCCAAACTGCTGCTCGATGCTACCCTCTTGAAGGAGCATCGATCCTATCCAATTCCGTGCAGCTTCAACGGTTGCAGCACCAAATTTTACTACTATGCAACCACGCACGTTGGCGGCTGACCAGAGTATCTGTTTATCTTTCTCCTCCGCTAACCTGGTAGTTCGCCAACGCTCGAGGGGAGATTGAGGTATTGCTTCATCTTTCTCACGTGCTTCAGCGCTACGGAAATCTCGAGCCCCTAATCGTGGCAGTGCGGAAAACTCGGATAGAAAGAAATCACTAATAGATTTGGTCATAGGACCTCGGAGGATCAAAGTCCCCACGATGGCGTGTCCATACATGGACTCTTGAAGCGTAGGCGATCCAATCGGCCTATTCGCACCGTCTAAGATGATGGTATCTCGGACTAGAAGACGATCCTTAGATGTTGCGGCATTAGAGGCGGACCAAACTTCGTTGCGTCCAATCCATCGACTAAGACTCCAATTTTCACCCCGGGCCGTACGACCTTGGGTAACCCAGTCTAGCAAGCATAGAGACGCGCCAGAAGTCAGCTTGAAAACCTGCTTCTGCTCGTATATGCTGCTTTCGAATGGCTGAACAGGGTCCGGTAAGAGGCAAAGCGCAGCCCCGTCTTTTATTTCGACGTTTAAATTTTGTCTTGTCACGATATCTGGCGCAACAGACCGAAAAATCTTGGTGTGGCCTTGTGTGACGATGCTGAGTCTCGCCCCCGGGTGTACGTCAATAGAGAGGTTAATTCGGTCGCCGCCGACAAGTCCTCCACCATACGACAAGAGAAACACTAACACGGTACCCGTTTCAGTGGTTGACGCGGGAGATATAAGTTTCAGCGGGTACTGATAAGTGATACTCTCAATCGTGGAGATGTTGTTAGGTGATAACTTGACAACTATTCGGCCCTCTCCAGGGAGGGATGACGACTTTGGAAACGGGGAGGTCATCCCGTAAGTAGATTAGGATGGGAGGAAGGTGAGTGTACGAAGTTCATCTCATATTAATGAAAGAAAAAGGTTTGAATATTCCAACCAGGAACTAATGTTCGTCATTGAAGCTTATCTCGATGCTCCGTACGAGATAAATCGTTGGTGATATTAGCTTCGGTATACACGCTGGAGAGGTTAACTTTGTATTAAATTGAAGGAAAAAAAGGGGAAGATAATTATGAAGGTAATAATTTGAGATAATACATTTTATTATGAGATGAGATATAGTTGATAATTTTTATGTTGATATGACTGTCTTGTAGTAGACGTTCTGATAGTTGATAGTATTTATTACATGAGAAATCTATTAATGGGAATTGGTAGACGGAGGGGTACGATACGATACGTACATGTAAGTGGAACCTACCTAGGTACCTGCACGATTCGGATAGAGAATATTGAAGTATTAATTATTGGAGACTTATGCATATATAAATGATAATGCGAATAAACTCAACTCAAAAAGATATGCTCCACTTGCCAGATACCTGAGGTACCTCCAATTAATAAGGTTTTCTGAAAGATGGAATCCGGCGACTTTCATTTTGGCGAATCCAAAACACGCTCCCCACCATTAGACGCGCCTGAATTGCCAACGAATCTTCCCCCTGGTCAACATTTCCAGTAATCAGTAATCGCATTTATTTCATGGGGGGAACAGTCGCATCGCATTAATCTTCAATCCCACATGTCACCATCTAGATTGCCCCTAATGGAAACCGACGACAATAACGCGACCTCCTCTCCCGCGTCCGCCCCCGATAATTCGCGACGAAGGTCGGGACGCGTTGTAAGAGCACCTCAGAAGTTCTCTCCAGAAGCAAACCCATCACAGAACGATTATGCATCGTCTAAGAGAAAGAGAGGCCGCGATCGTGATGAGGAAGACGCCGAGAATGATACTCCCGCTGAAGATGACGAAGAGGAGCTTAGCGACCCAGACGACCATGACGACATTGAAGAAGAAGAACAAACTTCTAAATCAAACAAGTCTAAGTCTAAACAAAAGTCACGACCTAAAAAGCCGGCGGCGAAGCGCGCAAAAGTAAACGGTAGTGCGCCAATAGAGACCGGGTCTGCTCCCCTTGCGCCCGCGGTTAGGCTTCCAAATAGACCCAAGAAGACTGCAAGAGTCGCTATTGTTCATCCTGATGGAGACGGTCTTTATGGTAAGGGCTTGGCTTAAGAATAGCACTGTTCAAGATACAATTGATTTGTACTAACAATCTTATTAGCTGATGTGTTTGGTTCGGGTGACTCTTCTGACGATGTTGCCGCGAACTGGTTTCAGCGCTACCAGCAAGACGATGCTAAAGCGTTAGCGGAAGTTATTAACTGCGTTTTACTTGCGGCAGGCTGCGAGCAACAGCTGACAGAAGACGATATTCGAGATCCTGATAATTCTGCAAACCGATTATCAGAATTAGAAGATGCTTATCAACAGGTGTGTTATTATCACTTACCCATGGATAATGTTGTACTCCTACGCTGACATGCCACTTGACAGACGAGTATTTCGGACTATCCCCTCATCTCGAGGGCGAAGAGCAGTAAAAACTTTCGGGACCTCCTTATTGGGTTTTTCGAATCTTTAATTAGTGTCCTCCACCAGACTGATGTTCTTTATAACGATGAAGATTTATTGGACAATATCCAACGATGGGTCGGCATTATGTCGTCCTCTTCTCTACGTCCATTTAGACACACAGCAACGACGGTAGGGTTGGCGATACTCACTTCACTTATTGGGGTGACGGAACAACTTGATGAGCGAATTACAAAGTCCAACCAGGCTCTACAAGCTGAGTCCAATCGCCGGGGTAAAAACAAGAATCTCATCGAGAACACGAAAAAGGCTCTTGATACTGCAAATCAAAATCGCGAATTTATCGATAGTAAAGTCAAGGATCTTTTCGATATCGTATTTGTGCACCGCTACCGCGACATCGACCCTAAAATTCGTGCCGAGTGTGTCGAAGCTCTCGGTACCTGGATTTGCACCCTTCCAACAGTCTATATGGCCCCTGAATACTTGCGATATTTAGGATGGCTGTTGTCAGATGTTGCTGTCTCAACTCGAATAGAAGTTCTCAAGCAGCTAGCACGAGTCCTGAAGCGAGATGCAGAGAAACTGGCCCATTTTATTGACAGATTCAGGCCTCGCCTTGTTGAGATGGCCACGAAAGATTCCGATGTCTCTGTTCGCGTTACAGCAATTAGCGTCGTTGACATACTACGGGCGTCAGGTATGCTTGAGCCTGAAGAAGTCGACTCCGTCAACAAATTGCTCTTCGATTCCGAAGCTAGGATACGTAAAGCTGTCGTTGGCTTCTTTTCGGCGCTGGTTCAAGAGCTCATCGAGAATAAAGTGGATGAAATTGGTGGTAACGACGCACTGGAAGAAGTCTTCGGAGACGAAGATGAAGACGAATATGACTCACTTCGAAAGGATTGGATCAATATCAAAGCTCTCGCGGAGAATCTTGCTGTATACGACGCTCAACTAGATGAGGAGCAGGATGAGATACGGCACGGATTAGACGTAGCAGCGGATGTGGTAAACGCCAATATGCCAGACTCACGAATCGCACTGGCAGCTCAAGCGCTCTATGAGAAAATCCCCGAAGTCAGCAATTGGCAAATCCTTGCTGGCTATCTACTTTTCGACCATTCGACTAGCACGAAATCTAGGGCGAGCTCAAAAACTAACTCAATCGAGGCCGCCACGAAGAAAGCCGTCGCTCCCGAGCCACGAGAGGAGGCTATTCTGCTTGAGGTCCTTGCTGCGGCTGTAAGGGAGAGCCTTGCGCCGTCAGCAGAGCATGACAGACACAAGAAGAGGGTCGGTAGGCTTGAGTTAGATGCGCAAGACGATGCTGGTATGAAGCTGGCTGGGCTCATACCTCGTCTCCTGAATAAGTTCGGGTCGGACCCTACGATGGCGGCGATTGTACTCCGATTAGAGCATTTTCTCGATCTGGAGGTATTCCAACAGTTGCGTCAAAATTCGGCAACGTATGATAAACTTCTTGACGAAATCGCCACTCAGTTCAATCGCCACGTCGACCAGGGGCTTCTTAATGAAGCAACAGCAGCATTTATCCACGCTAGACAATACGAAGAGCTTGAGGAATTGACCGACAACAAGATAGCAGCACTCTGGGACAATGCCCTTAATTCATTGCGGAGTGTAGATAAGATTTGTGAACTGTCAGCTCGAGGCAATCTTGATCGGGCCACTCTTACCGAGCTCTCTCAAATCCTAATGAAGCTCAGCAAGTTGGTTACCGTTTCTGATTGCGTCGATGTCCTTGAAACCCCGGGAACATCGACCGACTCCGACCGACCAGCTATTAATGTCCTTATCAGTATCGTGCACCGTGGTTTATTAACAGAGCCAAACGAAGACTTGGATGATCCTGAGGATGAAGTAGTTGCTTTCGCCATAAAGGCATGTCAGTTTTACTTCATGTGGAAAGTGAGGAGACTACGAAGTATTGTTGAAAGCGATGCAGATATTTCCGATGCCGAGGTTGATCAACTGGTACTTCTACGTAAAGATTTTGTCAAGAACCTCATACAGACCTTCTCCTCTCGAGGATTTAACGATGATCTCCGTCTCTTCGCTGTCGGCACTGCTTGCGATCTGTGCGGACTATTCGTTTTCCTTCGACCTATAATTGAAGACCCGCAGGTCTCCAAATATAGAAAGCTGCGCCCTCTCCTCGAAGAGATGCCCCCGGCCCTAATTACCCAGGAGATTATTCCCATATTCGATGCTGCAGAGCAAGCATACGCGAAACGCGCCAATAAGCAACTCAACGAACCTGCAGACGACGAAGATCCCTTAGATGACGAACTACCACCTGAGGATGACGAGGACGAGGAGCTCACGGAACAAGAGCGTTTCGCGGCTGAGTTGAAAGCCGAGAAGATTCTGTGCGAGCTTACTGGTAAACTCGTCCTTGCTATCTTAGCCAAGACTATCGACCATACTGGGCCAGACGCTGGCAAGCTACGGAAGCGGCTTAACCGTAACAAGACAAAGTTAGGAAATAACTTCAAGGATGTCGTCGCTTATTTAGACGAGGACCACCTTCGTGAACTAAGAGGCGGAAAGAAGAAGTCTGCGGCTAAAGCTAAAGGCAAGGAGCCTGCGAAAAAGCCTGCGCTCAGCGCGGAGCTAGTAATTGAGGAGGATGATGACGAAAATCATATAAGACTAGAAGACCCATTCGAGGAGGAACCCGAGCCCGAAGAGGGCACAGTTGAGGATCTCAGAAGAAGGGAACTCCTTGACGACCCCATTGAGGACGACTCGGAAGAGGAAAGGCCAGCGGCCGGAGAGCCGATGGAAGATGACGAGATAATCGGGGATTAATGAGCTGGCAGGCAGGAATGACTTGACTTACTTCTATTACTACACTACACCCATGTACTTACGGCTTTGAACGGGATGGCATGAATGAACAGAACAGGTACGCCCCTAGAGCTGCACGATGTTTCTTCACTGCATGGGAGATGGCGGAACGCCGCTGCGAGCATTCTTGATGGTGATTGACCGTGTCGGCTGGTGGCTGGCTACAGGGGTAACTGCACGGAGTTGGAGTTGGAGTCGAGGGACGATACGATTCCCCGGTGGGTGGATAGTTTGTTTTGTTATGTGTATTAATACATACTTGAACGCAACTCTTGCTTTGATACATGTGTTGGGGACTGGAGACGCGTATATCTGCGGGTCTGAGTAGGGAAGCACTGAAATCTTAAGTTTGTCTTGAATCAACAGTGAAGAGGTATATCGTCGTAGGGAGGTCTCGGTAAGCGTAATATTTATCAATTTAATTATTATATTTTTAATTATTCATGCGGAATTACGAGCTGATTTTAGTTCCAAATAAGCCAAACACTCTTTCCCAGCGCTTCCCCTTGCCCGCATTTGCTTTTTGGGGATCGCTCTCGGGGATCTTAATGCCATATTGACGAATACAGCATGTAAACGGCTTGTTAGACACCATAGAATGTCCCTGGACGGTGTCTTGAGCCGGATAGCTGCTTGGTGGTCTGGGGGGCGTGCTATCCGGTGGCTGTTGAGCCGCAACTCGTCGCTGGTTTTTCTGCTGATTTTGTAACTCCTGCTGCTTGCACTCTTCTAGATTTCCCCAAAGCTTAAACAGCTGCTCTCGCAAAGTACTTAGATCGTCGGGGTTTGCTCGAAGGCTAGCTGTATGTTAGCTAGCTCGGGTATTGATCAATCAATGTGATTGGGGTTTGTCCTGAAGCTGGAAAGGGGGAACGGAGGGGATAACGTACTCTACTGCGTCGAGATTTACTAACATTTGTGCCTCGGTGTTATCAACCACAACCCAGAGGCTGTCGTTGTCGCCCCTTTTCTTGGGATTAGCCTCTTCGAGAAGCAATGAGAATCGCCACTCCCAGACTTTATCTCCCCTATATCGGTCTAAGGTGCCTTGTTCTTCGTCCGATTCTGAATCAGAAGCGCCGCTATAGTCCGAAAGCACGTCAAATTCTGTATTCTTGCGCCAAGTTGCAAAGTCTTCTAGCTTGCGAGGACGGAAGTCTAAAACTCGGACGTTGGCTCGGTACTTGGCGCAGGTAAATGGAAGTGTTAGCGTCGTTTCTTGGTCATTTACCGTGGTTGTCCAAGATACGGGTTCTAGCATGGAAGAGACGGGGAAAACTTGTTGGTCCATATTTTCGCATTTTACTATTGTCTCTGTTAGTAGAAGCGATTGCCATAGAAAATGCGCAATGACTATACTTAATTCGTTAAGACCAAGCCCTGCCTCTTGTTCTAGCTCTCGCTCCTCGATCTCCTTGAACTTTTGAGCCCGTTGCTCCATACGCCGCATCTTCGAGTTTTTTTCGTCTTGATTTTCTCCCTTTCGCTTGCCACCGTTCCCTTTACCGCTCTCGTTTGCAGCAAAACTCATCATCTGTTTTTTCTTGGCCTTTTCATATTCTTTTTTCCGCCTAATAGCATCCTTGAGCCGTTGATCGATATTATCCGGGTCATGGGTAGGAAGGACATTAACCTGAACGCCTGGTTTGAAGGCACCGCGATCTTCTCGCAAATATCCCTCAAGATTATTGGCATTACGCCCATACTTGATTTGAAGATTCCGTAGTTTTACCCAATCTCCAGCCTTAACTTCTTTACAGACGAGCTCCGCGTGGTAACCAAAGCAAGTTACTTGTAACGAACGCTTCCCATAAGGGCCAGGCCAGTTGTTTGGCGTTGCGTTCTTCGTAGTGTATCCATATGGATCGCCATCCCGACCGTCGGATATATCTGTAGAGTCCCACGAGAACTTACAGAAAGCGTCATTTTCGGTGTAATCGGAAACCCACAATGTAGCTTTGTCCATATTATCGAAGGGATCCTTGATCACATTGACGATAATATCACAGAATTGATTTTCCTGGACGTCACTTAAGACTTTGAATTTATCCTTGATATTCCGAGATTGGTCAACTTGAATTTTGAAATCGGCAACCTCTGGTATAGGGCTCTTGTCAGTGGAGTGGTATAGCCAGGAAACATATTCATGTTCCTTATCTGAGGGGCGGCGATCCTTGGGTCGGACAGGGTCTAATAGGGCCTGTTTTGCTGACTTTGGTGGCCTGGGAATCTTGCTTGCTGAGTACAAATGAATTATAGTCGACCTATGGGATAATAGCGATATTTCATTATAACGGGACTGGACCTTGGCGTAAATTATTAAGACAACATCGCCGGCATCCGGCTCGGGAATTTCAGACACATCAGGCCGAAATATATTCATAACTAAACCCTTTTCTGATTCGTCTTCAATAGACTTGTCATAAATTGTGATAACAGACTTCCAATCTTGCCCAAAAACATTAGCCAGGCTTACTCGAGAGAACATATACATAGAGTCGCAAACTTACCAGCTCCTCTAGTTTGTACTGCAGACCTACGATCCTTCACCAAACCAACAACATTGACAAATCTACCGCTCGGGACAACTTCATCAAGGATATCCCGAATATTATGATACCCAGAAGGAAGTTTCCTTTGTTCGTCTGCATTTCGAGAATGTCGGGCAGAGCTCGATGGCTGCCACGAAGTCATGTTGAAAGAGATTTGGCATAATGCAGAGTTATGACATTAGAAGTAGAAGGATGACGAAATGCCTTTGCTCCGTAGATTAGGCTACAATTAAGCCGATACATTGAGAAAGGGGTAAGTAAGTTGCATGCATGGATTGATTTTTAATGTTTAACGTTTAACGTCCATGAGTAAGAACGAAGCACGCGTCCGAAACGCGTCAAGACTCAAAGACCTTTTACATTGTAAGTGCATAAAATATGCACAAAACGGATAGTGAGTCAAGTGTCTTTGTATCTTCAAATTGCGGTGTCACATGATTGTCAGGTGGCTTTAGAAGGTACAAGCCAGTGCGCCAGTGCGTTGGTCTGTGCAATTCAATTTGGAAGTGGGGATGAGTGGGGTAGCCGCAGGACAGTTTGGAAGGCTTTGATTGGCTTTGAATAGGGTAGATGCCTCACGCCTGCGGCCTTAGTCTGCCAGTTGGAACCTTAAGGCATCCCGCTAACGGGTTTGAAAGAGCGACCAAGCCGCCAAATCCATTCTAATCCAAATTCTTCTGCTGTTTCCAGCATCATAATAATTTCCCCCACTACGATCAACTCAATTCAACTCTTCAACTTTAAACTTCCTCAACTCTTCCTCTCTCTCTCTCTCTCTATCTTCCTCAACTTCGCACTGAAGAATAGAGGTTCGTTTTATCCCATCTACAAATCATTCAATATTTCGCTCTCCCGGCGTAAAACTTTTTTTTTGTTCCTTTTTAATTCGTCATCTCTCCCTCAGGGCCAAGGGCGATCAAAATAAATCACCCCGCCTTGTCGTCCCGGTCTTTTCGCCACTACAGCAACTACAGCGCTTGAAGTGAATAGTATCTTACTATTGCAGCAACTATGGCCGACAGGTTCATTCCCGAGCATCGTCGCACTAACTACAAGGCGAAGGGCACTTTCAAGCCTGACGAATTGCGCCGACGACGCGAGGAGCAGGCTGTTGAGATTCGCAAGGCTAAGCGAGAAGAAAACTTAGCCAAGAGACGAGGTATTGGCACTGGCGATTCGCGCCCTGGTGCTTCTTTGGGTGCCGCTCCTGACAGTGATGATGAAAATGCCCCTACAGAGAGTCAGGTATGTTTACTGATCAAAAAATTTTCATGCTCGCTTTGTTTTTGTTTTTATTTTATGTTTTCCTTTTTTCCCTTCTGTCTTCAAATCTTTACTACGGCGGCGGGAGCTTTACAGTAATTACGCCCATACTATTGGCTACCAATAGTAGTTGAATACCCCCCCCGCCGCCTTCTCGCGGTATTTCTCTTTCTACGGGTCAAATCACAATGCTAACCTCTTGACTCAACAGCTCAATGAAGACCTTCCTCAGATGGTCCAAGGAGTATTCTCCGACCAGATCGACCTACAAATCCAGGCTACTACCAAGTTTAGAAAGCTTCTTTCCAAGGAGCGAAACCCTCCCATCGAAGAAGTCATTAAGACTGGGGTTGTTACTCGATTTGTCGAGTTCCTTCGATCACCCCATACCCTAGTTCAGTTCGAAGCTGCTTGGGCTTTAACCAACATCGCATCAGGAAGTGCTACCCAGACTCAGGTTGTCATCGAGGCCGGTGCAGTTCCCATCTTCGTCGATCTGCTATCAAGCCCCGAACCTGATGTTCGTGAGCAGGCTGTTTGGGCTCTCGGCAACATTGCTGGCGACAGCCCGGCATGCCGAGACTACGTCTTGAGCTGCGGCGCCCTCAAGCCCCTGCTTAACCTGCTAGGCGACAGCCGCAAGCTCAGCATGCTTCGAAATGCTACTTGGACCTTGAGCAACTTCTGCCGAGGCAAGACCCCCCAGCCTGATTGGACTACGGTAAGTCACAGTGTTCGCATCCTACACTGCCATGACATGGATGGTACTAACTCGTTCAGATTGCACCAGCGCTTCCGGTTCTTGCTAAGCTGGTCTATTCACTCGACGATGAAGTCTTGATTGATGCTTGCTGGGCCATTTCATACCTCTCGGACGGGTCCAATGACAAGATACAGGCCGTTATTGAGGCCGGTATACCGCGTAGGTTGGTGGAGTTGCTTATGCATGCTTCTACTTCTGTGCAGACTCCCGCGTTGCGATCAGTTGGTAATATTGTGACTGGCGACGACGTTCAGACCCAGGTCATAATTAACTGCGGTGCTTTGTCGTGTCTCCTATCGCTTCTTAGCTCCAACAAAGACGGAATCCGTAAGGAGGCGTGCTGGACCATTTCTAATATCACTGCGGGTAACTCGCAGCAAATCCAGGCTGTCATTGACGCCAATATTATTCCGCCCTTGATTCACCTGCTGTCAAACGGTGATCTGAAGACCCGCAAAGAGGCTTGTTGGGCTATCAGCAATGCTACTAGCGGCGGTCTACAGAAGCCGGAACAAATCAGATATCTAGTTGCGCAAGGTTGTATCAAGCCGCTATGTGACCTTCTCGCGTGCCCGGATAACAAGATTATCCAGGTCGCTCTAGATGGTCTGGAGAATATTCTCAAGGTTGGCGATCTCGACAAGCAAGCAGCTGGAGAAGGCCCAGACTCCATCAACCGCTACGCATTATTCATTGAGGAGTGTGGAGGTATGGAGAAGATTCACGACTGCCAGACAAACGCAAACGAGGAGATCTACATGAAGTCGTACAACATCATCGAGAAGTATTTCTCCGACGAGGATGAGAATGCCGATGACGGTATGGCTGCTCAGACCCAAGCAAATGGCACGTTCGGTTTCGGCACCAATGGCGCACAAGGCGGCGGCTTTAACTTCGCTAACGGTGGAGACTCGATGGATATGTAAGGTAGTGTATCCTTATATGGGAATTCGCGAGGCCCGATATCATGAATTCACTGGGCGATCTAGCACATAGTCACAGCACCGATATCATAACCCCCCAATTTCCCCCTGCTTTGCCCCGCATTTAGCCCATCCCCCACCCAAGTCCCATTGCGAATGGTGTTAATCGAGTTACGAGGAGGAGCATTGAGTCATGGTCAACCACGCGAGAGAGTACAGGCCGCTTGATAGCTTTAAAGCTCCTGCCTGAGAAGAGGTGGTTGGATGAGACAAATGTGTTATATGTTATACGAGGGTCCTTAATGGTAGCTTGAAAGCTCCTACCCTCCGAATGAGAAGGAATTCACGGTGTATCTCGTAATGATCACCAAAAAGCATTGTCCGACCAGTTGGTACTTCGCCGCTAACGCAGTACGGACCAGGGAAAGGTCGGTGCTTTTGATGCTATTGCTCCCAAGTGGTAGAGCAGTGATCCCAATCTTCCCAAGCAGCTAGTTGACTCAATGCGTCTGCCTTACCAAGTGGTAACGGACCGTCGCCAGATATAGTCGTTAGCGAGGAATCCAGTGAGCTTCAGCAATACAGCATGACTCGCCGGGCTCCAACATAACCCCCCCAAAATTGATAATTCCGCAAAATGCAGCCTAACTCGAAAGCATGCCGTGGCTTAAGACTTGCAAATTCAGTAGCTACCTCTTAATCATTGTCCATTGCTTAAGATGCCGAACGAATTATAGCTGCATACATGTAGTAGTATGTAGAAAGTCTGGGTGCCCGACAAAGAAGATTCCCCCGCCTACGTAAATTTTCTATACCCAATGACTCCTAGGTCCATTTTATTGGGCGTGTCCCTTGAATGCCTTGGAATGTTAGACCCATGTGGTTCGATGGATGCGGAGAGTGAGATATTTAGACCTAGTTAATACCTTTCTTAAGTACCTCTTGATTAAATGCCTCACGCATCATTTCTCGACAATCGCCCGGATGCCGAAAAAAAAAAGAAGCGTATATCTTGCAATTATTGGGCTTCTGACTTGGTGTCGACAGAGAATACGAGTTGGTCTATAACAATAAGAGGTTAAACGTACCTGGTATAACGGGTTTGTCTTGTCTTACTAAGCCCCTTGCTTCGTGGGTAACATTATAGCTGGTTGACATGTGGATAGTCTGCCGAAGATGTTCCGAGGTCTACTCTTTGATAATGAGTACTTGATACAATGGGTAAGGTAATATAAATTAGGTACACTTCTATTAGCTATATGCTTAATTACTTGTTCTCTAAGCTTAAAAGAAGGGGTGTCTCATAGGATTCGGCCCCATTGTCTTATAGTGTTGCCTGGGGATTCGTACTACAAGGCAAAGTCGAGTTGGTTTGTGTTATCAACTACATCGACACCAGGTGCATGGGAGATGATGATAAAGTATAAATATTTTGATAATTATTCGTACTACGATATATTGGGAGTAAATAGACTGTGAAGAAACGTAACATCAAGATAAGCGCACTCTTACGCAAAACGGTGTGGCGTTACAATGAGTCACTTCATAGCTGGCCAATGGTGTTCTTGGCTGTTCTTGCGTCAAGATAATATGACTGGACAGTGACTCGGGATGTAGTCTTTAACTTAGTTACTTTGTTCTACAACTTCACCCTATAGATGAGTGTTTGGGACTTGGTCTGCTATATATCCAGAATTGATTACTTGGTAATCAAACAACTCATATCAAAGTCCCTAGCTATCAGACCATGCTTTAACCCAGCGGTCTTGTCAGGCGTTATACCCTTGGCGGATGTCATACATAGAGTGAATGTCAAGATAGATAAATGGCGTCACGAGGTGGAACCAAACATCATGGCAACAATACCGTTGTTCTGCAAGGAACTCTAAGCTATCTAACGAGCCTACCTACGGCTGGTATACATACTGGATACACCCTTTGTTCTAGATGTCTCATCTATAATCTTGACAGACTGACCTAGTAACGCCTACCTTTCTACCATCTTACGAGGCCGCTACGCGCCCTTTATATAGTAGATCGAACCCTGTAACTACCTCTAACCCACTTATATCCTGATACTTTAAGAGACTTATGGAAAGTAATCAGCTGGTAATCAAACAACTCATCCCCAAATACCCAGCTATTCCGCCATACCTTTAACCCAGCAGTCCATCCCGCTATCTTCTAGTGTTTCCCACTCCTTATCATATCCAGGTCTTGTAACCCTCTCTGCCAATCAAAGAATATCTTGACAACACATCGTTGCTTGGGACTACCTTGGCCAGAACAATCATTTACTGTCAATCTTCTTCTTCTTCTTCGCATCCCCAGCAAGCTGAAGTGATGCGATGAAAAAAAAAAAGTAGTTTGTTCGGATCGCACAGTGACTTAAAAAAAGCGTCACA